TTCTGAGAAGGTATGGTCCAGAAGAGTAGTCCAGACTACTGGCCTGATTCAGCTTGGCATTGCCCAAGAAGAGCAACAGAGAAATAAAGCACTATTTATCACCGTTAGGGCTGCTGAGTCTGAGTGGCTAATGCATGCTACTCAGAAATAACAACCTTTTTACAGAAGTAGTAGCGGAAGAAAAGGAGGTGTTGGGGGGGTGTCTTCTAAGGTGGCCGTTGCTCGGAGACTGGCTGGGCATGGGTCTGCCTGCAGGAGGTGGTGAGTGATTGCCTTTGCATCACTTCTTTTATATATATATAGAATGTATATATTATATAGATAATACTCTACCTTCTTGCACCTTCTGTGTGCATTCATCAAGATTCCACACCACCACACGTTCACGAGAAGCAGAGCAGACAAGAAGTGGATTGATTTTATTTCCAAATGATAGCGCAGAAATTGAGTAATGGTGTCCTGACAAATGTAATGGCTGACAAATGTAGATAAAGAAGAGTTAAATGAGTCGCTTCAAACTAAGATTATGAGAAACACAAAATTGCAAATGGATAACGTACATGCAATTAACAAAACAATAACTGATTTTTTCTTTATTGTTTCAAAATCACTTAATCGGCTACAATGTAGCTGTACTGGGTTTGGCTAGGATGGAGTTAACTTTCTGCATAGCAGCTTGCATGGTGTGTAGTGCCTTGGATTTTATGACGAAAACAGTGTTGATAACACACCAATGTTTCGGCTGTTGCCAAACACTGCTTGCACAGCATCAAGCTTTTCTCTTTTTCCCACTCCGTCCCGCCACCCTCCCCACCCCACCAGCGAGCAGGCTGGGGGTGCACAAAAGACTGGGAGGGAACACAGCCGGGACAGCTGACCCCAACTGACCAAAGGGATATCCCACACCATATGATATTGCGCTCAGCAATAAAACTGCGGTATTGGATGAAGAAGGTGTTGGGGAACTGGGGGGTTGTCTTCTAAGGTGATTGTCACTCGAACCCTGTATGGGGATTGGTCTGCTTGTAGGAGGTGGTGGGCGATCGCCTTTGTATCACTTCTTTTTTCCTCTTTCCTTCACTCGTTAAGCTATCTTTATCTCGATCCGTGACTTCTTCTCACTGTTGCCCGCCCGATTCTCTCCCCCACCTCTCTGGGAAGGATTGAGCAGGAGACTAGGTGGTGGTTTAGCTGCCAGCCAGGGTCAACCCACCACAACAGTTTATATTATTTTCATCACAATAACAAAGCTCATAACAAATGCTAGTATCTTCCCAGCATTAAAGTGAAACCTGACACTCCTACACGACCCTCAAATACTTTTTTTTATATCTTCCTTTTAAGTCGTCTTCTGAAATAGCAGCCTATGAAGGGATATATTCTGGTTTTACCTGAGCAGTCACTGTATTCCAGATGCATAGCTCATTTTGATTCAAAGGGAAAGCACACTGATGGTGACTACACGCCAGCTGAACAAGGGACTCTGACAGTTTGGATTTAAACAACTGTTTTTCGCAGACAAGGTCAGGCTTGCAGCTCCCTCCAGAAGAACGACGCTCCCCGTCACTTTCCATGTGAAAAACGGCTGAAACGGGCTCCGCGGCGGAGCACCACAGGGGGCCGGCTTCGCCTTTCCGGCTGCGTCCTTACTGCCTGACAGCGCGGGGGTCCCCGGGCCACACAGCCTGCCGCGGGGGCACCCTTGCGCGGGGAGGCGGAGGGGCCCGCCCGGCTCCGCGTCCCCAGGGGGAGACAACGCGGCACCCGCCCTA